AATATACCCAATATAGGTTGAGTCATTAATTTAGTTTTTAAAGAGTCGAACGAATTCTGCTGTTCATTTTTCCATTTAAAAATTGAAGACTTTTGAAGGAGCCGTGTTAATAGTTTTGCTATCTTAGAAAAGTCCTTAATAAACTTTCGATAATACCCACCTAATCCCAGAAATTGTTCAATTCCTTTAGAATCCCGTGGGACTGGATAGTTTATGACTTTTTTTATAAGATTTGGATTAAGCTATATACTTCGTTCCGAGATCACATGTCTCAAATATTCAAATTTGGGTCTCAGATATTCACATTTATTCGATTGAAATTTTAGCCCTACTTATCTGAGTCTTTCAAATAATAGCCTCAAGTTTCTATTATGTTCTTCAATAGTTTTTCCGTAAACTATTATATCATTAATATAAATAAAGCAATTGTTTCCTATTAGTCCCTTTAGTCCCTTATTCATCATTCTTTGAAAGATCGGAGGTGCATTCTTCAGACTGAAAGGCATGCGAATGTATTCATAATAGCCATTCAGAGCTGGTGAAAGCTGTTTTTGGAATATCTTTAGGATTCATGCCTATTCGATACAATCCCGATAGCTAAGTCAAAGGCTGAGAAATAATGCGCGTTGTCCAGATCAAGAATTTCATCTATGTTTGGAAGTGAATAGTTGATCTTGAATAGGTTTTTCGTTAAGTCAATTACTAATCGCCATTTAGTTTTACCTGAAGCATCTTGCTTTTTAGGTACTATTCAATTATAAGGAATTATAAGGAGAATCCAATTCTCTTATTATACCCTTAGCTAACATTTGCGTTTTAATTTCTTCCTTGTAGAGGAGACTAACGATGTTGTTTTGTGTGAATAGGATTTTCATCTGAGGTTTTAATCTCATGTTAGATTAAATCAGTGAGTGGGAGTGGATCTCCAGATAAGATGAAAATATCATGTGATATTCTAATATTATATTCCAGATTTCGCTAAAATGCTCTGGAAGGTGTGAGAGACAAATATTTTCTTTCAATAATTGCAAGCGTGTATTATCCAAGCGTGTGTTTCCTTTGAAATGGAATACATCGTGAAAATTTTCAATACTTTTAATTTCAGCATGCAAATGTTCGGTAAAATAGACTTACTAGAATCATTCATCTTTGTAATTACTTCAGTGTCATCCCTGAATATAACTAATACGTCTGACGTTTTTTTTTATATCACTAGGATATAAAAAAAAACGTCAGACGTATTAGGATATGAATACTTGTCACATCTTTTAAATTCCTTTCCTTCAAGAATTAAACTTTTATTTGAAAAATTGGAATTGTTATTCGTAAGAAAATCGATACCTGTTATGTCGTAATGTTTAACTGCCGAATAATAATCGTCTAATACGTGAAATACGTGTTTTTTTTCCGAACATTTCTACAATTACTTAGTTTTCAAAGAATGTGTCGTGACGCTGGATATTATTATCGAATCTATCTTGGATAAATTTTTATTTTCAATAAACATTTCATAAATTAAAGATATATCCGAGCTCGTGTCTACTAAAAATATTGTTTGCTTAAAACCTGGTATTTTCAAAGTAGCTCTGATGTAAGTTTCGCCAGGTCCCTGATAAATCTCTCGTTGATGTGTTGCTTCGGGGCTCGATTGATTGCATGTGAAGAACGCGATGCTTGGTCCGGTGGTCGATTGAGAAGATGACACTCGTGAAAATTTTGTTGACTTCGTTGCTGATGGAATGCTTTGATTTTGCATTCTTTTTCTTCATGTCTTTGCCTCTTACAGTAGCCACATTCTTGATATTGAAACCAGAATTTTTGAATAGGTTTCCTTGAGACATCATGGCGTTGTATGCGTAGTAATCTTCTTAACTAGAGTTCTCCTTCGAAAGCTCTCGCTTTCGAAAACGTTTGATTTTAGCTCGAATAGAGGTGATCTCCAATGTCTGATTTTACATTACGGAAAATCTCGATGGACTTCCGCTGGCAAAGTTCTTCTTGGATACAGATGATCGCGATTCCATTGCCGAATTAATGGTTGTGATAATATCATCGTGTATTCGGAGGAAACGCTTTATGAATTCATCAATATTTTCGTTATATTGGATACATGTGTCTCTTTGTCCACTTGTCTTCCAGTGCAGTGAGATTTTGAGCTTTTCCGAACAGGTATCTCAATTTTTCGAAAAGCCGTGGAAAATTTGGCGTAGCGTCGATTCTTGTGCCCTTCGCTCTTCCTGTAAGTTTCTGCGCGATGATGCCGCAAAATAGTTCGTGTTGATTGACTGCCAGTCGCTTCACTGCGACTTGAATGTGCCCAATAAATAATTCGACATTGAATCCATCGAATTCCGAGATTAGATACATTGCTTTGTCATATGTATTTTATTAAAATTTTCTTGATTGAACAATCGCTGACACATTGCTTCTAGAAATCGCTTTCAGGATGGATTTATTTGTAAATTATTCATTTGATCTCTAAGCGCTTGCAGTGTCCGTGACTTTTAACAATTATTCTGCTAATATATTTAAAGTAAGCGTTTGTTCGCGAGACGGATTTCTTGCGCGCGATATTGGAGCAGTTATGAAGATTTTTTATTCTAATACATTAATGCTTGCACTTGAATCGGAAGAAGTATCAGAAGGAATTGATCTTACCCTTCTGTAATTTGTCCACATCTGAATATTACCCAGTCTGAATGTTGAGTTCGGTAGAGCGAGATAATCTTTGAGTTTTCCTCGGAAGTAACTAGTGTAACTAGTATATGTCGTCTCGAAGTTAAAGTACTTCAAACTGTTTTTATGTACTTATTATTCCGCACCGCTGCCATCAATTATAAGATTCGCAATAATGTTTTTTTAAATAAAAACTCTTTATTCTTGATCTTGTACAAAATTACAATTTTCATTCTTAGATGCGACCGGTCTCGCAGGACTCAATGGACTGACTCATTTAGTCTAAGTGCTCTCTATTTTAAGGCTCGAAAATATTTCTAGAAAATTCGAGTTATTGAGTTGTTAAACAGATACTTTCCGTTTTTAAAAAGTCTTATTTCTATTTTTATCCTAAGGGGCCCTTATATAAAGAAAAGAAAGAAAAGATTATATTTTTAACGCTTTCTTATCTTAAGATTAAATTCTAAAATAGGTGGTCACAACAAACAGGGCGCACTACTTTCCACGCGAAGTCCACTCCATTTTTTCCGTCCAATTGTTAATTATTTTAGTATCTGTTGGTTAGAGAATTTTTTAATTATTTTTCTCGTATTCCTCATTAGAAATGCTTCCGAAAATCACTTTTATTTCGAAGGGCCACAGTTATCGTAATTGTGCCGAGATCTATAAATAAAATGTGTTTTGCGATTTTTAATCCAGGCCATGAAATTGTGTAAAATTTGTATAAATTTTTACATTTGACGGATTTCCATTTGTATATCTATATACAAATAAAAACTCCGTAAAAGAAAGTCGAATCGTTATCTCAATTACTGATTTCAAAAGTAAAGGTTTCAAGCTTTAAAATGCTTTTTGGAAGATGAGGCTAGGATTTTTGATTCCTTTATTTGAAGTTTGCTTATTTCTCAACAAACCATTAAAAAATCATTTAAAATCAGTATTAAAAAGGACCAAATTCAAAATTCACATATCTTTCCGAAAAATGGTCGCGGAACAATGTTTGGAAAAGCATTTCGTAGCTTAAAGCATAACTTTCGAAAGTATAATTTTCGTACAAAATTTTTAATTTTAACGGATGTCCATTTGTATCTCCATAACTTTATAAAAAATCAATCAGACCGAAATATCAATTACTGAACTCGAAAGTAAAGACTTCAACTTTAAAATGTTTTTTTACAGTCTCGTTATTATTTTTAACAAAGTTACACTTTCTTGAATCACTTATTTTTGGAAGATAGACTAAGTGATCCTTTAATTTTTTTCAATAGTGTATTTAAATAATAAATTATTTAAAATTTGATCAATAATATCCAAAGTATTATAAAAATATTAAATATTACAAAAAAATCTTTCAAGGATTTGTCTTTTGTATTCAAATATTAATTTTATAACAAATTTTTTCGTGAATGATATAAATAGAATTTACTCTCTTGATTTTTCTTCTTTGATCTTGCGATATTAAAATTGTATTTGGGGAGACACTATTCGCATTATTTAACGCTACAAGCTCGCGGAACTGCAAATAGGGCTAACAAATTCGATCATGACGTCACTAATGGTAGCATGTTACATTATAATTGTGCGCCATCAACGCTATTTTTCTGAGTATACTAGTAGCGTTGGTATTATTTGTAAGTTCTGTGAACAGCTCTTTGCAAGCATTGTCGTGTTACTACATCGAATGTTGTTTCAAGAATCATTATAGGTTATAAACTTTCCCTCAACCGTCCATAGATTCCCTAAATATTCAAATTCAGATTGCGTTATTCACTGCATCGTAGGATATATGTAACGTGAATTTCAAATTTTCTCATATTGAATAACAGAACGCAATCTTAATTGCAATTTCTATGATGGTTTACCACTAGGCAAAAATCGTCAGTAACAAGATAATTCCGTCCTTTTACACATTTATAATGAAGTCAAGTTAGAAAGTTTCTAACTAGACAGAAACTTTGAAAAATTAAAGACACTTACAACAAGCAAGAATACGTTTACTTCAGCTTAGCGGCAAGCCATCATAGAAATTACAATTAAGATTGCATTCTGTCATTCATTACAAGAAATTGAAATTTATGTTACTCTACGCAGCTCTAAAAAATTAAATTATTATAGAAAAGTTTGGTCGGTTGAGAACAGAATTCTCTATATTAAACGCTATCAATGCTATGCTAGAATTATTCATGGAGCTTACTAACGTTATCGCACTATTGGCTGCACGAACAGTGTTGGTGGCATTTGCGTTTATAGCGCAAATAGTGTTTCCCTGAACGCAAATAGTGTTTCCCAGAATATTCGCGGCATTTCTCGAGATCTATTTTCAGGATTGGGGTACTCGCAGGCTTTCGGTGCGTTCTGCGTTGTTTCGTACTACAGTGCTTTGATGGCATTGACCCTGTACTATTTAGTATCGAGCTTCCAATCTAAGTTACCGTGGTCGTTCTGTCGTCCGGAATGGAAAGATTATTGCATCGACTCGATGTTTAAAAATGTCTCCGAGGATCGTATCGCTACCATTCAAAGTTCCGCAGAACTGTATTTCAGGTTTGAAATTGAAACAGCATTAATCCGTAAATCACTTGAATGCAAATTCGCACCAGTAAAATTCCCAACCTACAGATATTTAAGAAAATTGGTTTTGTATAAAACGCAGTTTTGAATAAATAACATTTTGTTTGTTGAAAATTTAATATTACCTATCAACTGGTTAGAAAATTTTATATTTAAAAACGTTTTACTTTAATTTCTTTTTTAATTTTCAGATGATATAAACATTAAAAACACCTGGCGCGAATTTATACCCATTGTATAATAGATCGGATACTCAAAAGGGACATGCTCAAAATGTCCCTTATGGATTAAATATAATAGCTTTTTTTAAAAGTTTTACTATAATGAGAATGATCATTATTTAATATCAAACACTTTCTTTAATTTCAAACATCGGATTATCTTTTTAGTAATAACTAATACGATTTATTTTTATATGATTTTTATAGGAAAATAGTATTACAGGAATATGCGTCCATCGAGAACGGTATCGATGTACCATCCTGGCATTTGTCGATATGTCTGTTTCTCAGTTGGGTCTGCGTCTTTGGAGTGCTCTTCCGCGGCGTGAAGAGCACGGGCAAAGCCGCCTATTTCCTTGCATTATTTCCTTATATCGTGATGACAGCTCTACTGATCAGAGCCGTCACTCTTGAGGATGCTGTTGATGGTATCCTCTTCTTTGTAACTCCGAAATGGGACGCTCTGTGGAAGCCCACTGTCTGGTACGCCGCTATCACACAATGTTTCTTCTCCTTGTCAGTCTGCTTTGGTCCAATCATCAACTATTCGTCTTATAACAATTTTAAACACAGAGTGGACAGGTAAAATAATCTATAACGATCAAAGATAAGCTATAAATAGATTAAGAATATTAATAAAATAAATAAAAACGTTATAATTAAATAAAATAAGGTTGTGTAAATTCATTTTTCCAAAATACAATAGTATTTTTTAACTTACACTGTTGTTGCAAACTCATTCGAGTTCTTAAAAGATTTAATCTAGAATAAAAAATAAATGTTTCCCATTTTATTTTGCTCATTAGGGACGTGATGATAGTGACCACGCTGGACACATTCACTAGTCTGATAGCTGGTTGTACGATCTTTGGTATTCTCGGCAATTTGGCTCACGAAATGAATACAAAGGATATTGCCAAAGTGGTCCGCGGCGGCATTGGTTTGGCTTTCATTTCCTATCCGGACGCTTTATCGCGCTTCACTTTTATGCCACAGCTATTCTCCATCCTGTTCTTCATCATGATGTTCGTTCTTGGCACTGGAAGCTCTGCAGCGTTATGTGGCGCGGTATTTAGCATTTTCCGCGATCATCTACCTAATATGAGGCAGTGGTTGTTGGTACTTTGCGTCACCTGTTTCGGCTTCGTCGTCAGTCTCATCTATATCACTCCGGTTCGTTAATTGTCACTTAAGCTTACTATAAAAGTACATATAGTTGACACAAATATTAGTCATAAATGTTATGCGTTTAATCGATACTTGATAATTAATCGTACGTGTTTGAGAGACATACAGGTGCACGCAAAATGTTAATACTAAATTCATTGAATGCTAAATGAATGAAGATTTAAGTTTAAGAATTATATAAGATAAAAGCACTAAATGCGGATTAGGCACTAGTTCTGGATCACATACTATTCGAATAATTATAGTACTTTCCATCAAATAATGCATATCATAAGATTCTTTAGCATTTGTTTTATCTTTTTCAAGTATCAGTCGTTTTTCATTTATTAACAACAATGCTGCCCATTTTATTGATGTTAACTAATGAAACATGAGAGATAAACTAAGATTACTAATTGTAAGATATGTATTTAAAAATTCATTCAAAGTGTAATAACATAAGGATTACCTTATGGCTTTTACAGGAGGTAGTAAATAGCATTAGAATTCATGAAAAAAATCAATATTATACTCAGTTGAAATTAAATAAAAAAAAGATAAAGTATTTAGTAAACTAATTCGCAATTAGTATATGGAGTTTAATTGTGAACTAATTGTCACTATATCATTTAATTGAAATTAAAACATAAAACGGTACCAAAATGAAATAAGATCATTCATAAAGTAATCTTAATGATCTATTGTTTTGAATAAAAATATAAATTTCTTTTTAAGAGTCCACTGTGATCCACAAAAAGTGGCCTTTCCCTATGTACAGAAAAAACATTATAAGAAAAAATTATTATCTTAAGTATTCATTGTTTATTGCTCCTAATCATGTAAAATAAATTTTTACATTTTTTAAATAATTAAAAATTTCAAAAATCTTGAGTGACAAAGATACTTTTGATTCTGTGTTAATATTTAATAAATATTGTATTGATTCTGTGTTAATATTTAATAAATATTGATTATTGAATAAGTAATTGAATTAGAGTTTAAAGATTAAAACAAAGCTTATGAAATAAAATTATTATTCATAAAATTATTATTTATAATTTTTGTTATATTTCGATGACATATATATACATGAATATAAAAATAAATAACATGAATATAAAAATAAATAAACATTTAATTCTTAAATGTTTTGGTCTTTAAGGGGGGAGGAGATCATAATCAGTATGCCAATTCAGATGTTAAATGTTAAAATAATAAAATTTCTTATCTGTTGTCTGTTGCGTTAATTGCTGTCTTAATTGTAGTCAATGAATAAAGATTCTTGGCTGTACACATTTATGCATATAAATTTCTGGATTTTTTTCTCCTCTATTTCAAATTTTTATATTATTTCAAATAGAGAAGAAGAAATCCAGCATTCCAAATGCAGAAATTTATATGCATAAATGTGTGCAGCCAAGAATCTTTATTCATTGACCATAATTAAGATAGCAAGTAACACAACACAACAGATAATAGATAAAAAATTTTATAAAAAAAGAAAAACAGAAATACTATTGATAGAACATTTGTTTCCATGTTAATGTTTAATAAATGTTGACAGGGTGGTCAATGGTTCATAATGTTAATCGATTATTACGGCGGTACTTTCGTGGCAATAATCGTTGGCGTTCTCGAGATAGCGACTATCTTCTGGATGTATGGTCTCTTGAATTTCCTCAACGATATGGAATTTATGCTAGGCAACAGATTAGGTGCTTACTGGCGAGCTTGTTGGCTTGTAATCATTCCTGTGCTCATGATCATCATACTGATTTATACATGCGCCACTTATGAGCCACTCATGTATGACGGCGAACGGTTTCCTGATTATGCTTATGGTGAGTAAAATTTATTTTATATTATAATTTTATATTTTCGATTTCTTAAATATTTCTTCTATTACATAGAATCATAACCCATACATTATTTAAAGGTCATCATTTTAGAGCGATACTTTTACATCTTTTAGGAATAGGATGGTTCGTGCTAGTTCTAGGTATATCTCCCATCGCATGGTGGATCGGCCAAAAAATAATTATGAATAGAACGTCGTCTTTCACCGAAGTAAGCATATTTTGAGATATATATACTAAAAAAAACAGTAGTAGCTACAAAAGTGATAACTATATAAGTTTTATATTTAAAATTAATATATAATATAATATATACAAGATGTCCCGTGAGACTTCTCTTATCACTCACAGAAAGATAGATGGGATTGAGGATAAATACAAAATCCCATACCGTTTAGCAATATTTGCAATAATAATCGAGATATTAATTTTTGTAAATATAGGTGCTAATGAGAGCACTCCGAGAGAAAGACGTGTGAGCGGTGATGCCGGTACGCTTCTCATCTTGTCTCTCCAACGCACTGCCGGCAGCTATTACATGATAAACTGAACTGAGCTATACCTCGAGCGGCCGGAGCGTTTCTGTCTTGGTGCGCTCTCATTAGTACAATTATAAAAATTAATATCTCAATAATTATTGCGAATATCGCTATAATAATATCTTTTGTGTTCATCCGGATCCCATCTACTTTCTGTGAGGGATGAGAGAAGTCTCGCAAAATATCTTGTATAATACAGGATGTTCAAGAAAGATCGGGACCCCGAATTTACTCGGGAGAATGATGTTTTTGAAAGAAACGTTTCAAATAAAAGATTGTAAGATAATAGATGCTTGAATTAATTCTCGCTGACCAGAAGAGGTTAGTATATATGCTATTTTAACATGATCAAAAGTGACTGCTGATGTATTAATAATATATGAAAGTACTGTTAATAGGATATAATAATCAATATGTAACATTTGATCGGATCCAAAGAACACAATTTTTATCACATTAAAAATGTTGGGTTTTGTATCAAAAAAAGAGAATTTGCATTACTTTTCTGTTTTAATCTCAAGGAATCTGCTACTGAAAGTCATCGTTTGCTAGTGGAAGCTTATGAAGAGCATGCTCTATATGAAACAACTTGCAGAGATTGATTTAGAGAATTCAAAAACATTTTGATGTGAATGACAAAGAGCGCTCGGTTAGGTAAAAAAGTTTGAAGATGGAGAATTAGAGGCTCATTTACTTCAAACAAGATTTATATCAGATGCTCAAAGAGTTGTCGGAAACATTAAGTGTCAATGTCGGAAGCAAGATGAAAGAACACGTTTATACATAGTTACATTACATGACGGTTGAATTTAATGTCAGATTTATGTAATTCTGCGTTTTAAGAATATTTGTGAATTTACTGAAGATGGCCAGATTGTGGCCGAAACGTCTAATGTTTCATTAATGTAATGATAATTAAATATCACAAATATCTTGTGCTGTAGTTTTATGCTCTTCTTTTCATAAGTTATTATTTACTTAATCCAAATCGTATTATCTTTAATTTTTAAAATGAAACCTAAGTATACGTATACCTTATTGAAGAATCTTTCTACTCCAATCTAAATAGTTTAAATTCCTCTTAAATGAAATTGTTATATCACAATTCATTCAAAAACATATAACTTACCGATAATAGACTCATGTTTAGCTATCAATTTTTCCCGGATCTATTCCTCAAAACGTAAAACTGTTTGACTGATCATACGAATTACGACGTCATCTATGCTCGATTTCAGGAGTAGGCTTCAGGGGATCGTAGCAAAGCTTTCAAATACTTTTTCTCTATCAAACGAAACAAGTAATAATTAGTAATAATTAGTGATAATCAGTAATAATTAGACTGTCTACTGAGTTAATTATACGTTATCTCACATATTTCTAAATGAGTGCTCTACAAAAATTAAATTATCTATTGTGTTTATAGTTTTTACTTTTTATTTAAAACAATTACCTGTGCAACTCATTTAAATTGCTATTCAACATAATGTCACCAATAATTAAATACAAATGCGATTGCAATTCTTTCCAAACGAGAAGATACTTCAATAATCGGTTTTAAAATATGATTCAAATTAATACAGTTGCTATACCAAACTGGTCCAGCTTTCAAAAATAAAGTTTTTAGTAGTTTAGTTAGTTGAAGTAAAGTCGACGAGACGCACGAATCTTCAATAATACTTGAAAATGAGAAAAGTTTCCTAAAAAAGGCCTCATACAAAATAATAATTAAATAATAATATTACTTGTGTTTATTACATAATAGTAATTTACCATTTAAATACTTTAGAATGGATATGCAATAGCTCCTGACAGACTTGGGAAATTGTTCGTTGCAATTAAACAAAAATGTAAATTATACGTGAATTTGACAGTCCTAAATTTTGTTCCAAACATCCTTCCATAAATTCCATTTAAGAAAAATCTTTTTGATATTTTTTGAATTCATTAATAAGAAGTTTTATTTTACTATAAGGAAACCTCGATAGGAAATTTTTCATATATGCATCATGAAACTTATTTTTAAATCAACGCTTCATACTTTTAACGCTATAATCATTCTGATTCAACGTATCATATATTCCACAATTGATTGCATAATTATAATTTGCTCAAAATTATAATCTCTGTGTAACTCTCAACTTTCTCATCTGGATATACTTCGAGTCAAATATCAGACATTAGTGGCATCAATAAATTTACATATTTTACAAATTCTTCTATAAGTAAGATTTCTTTCTCACGATTATCAAAATCATATCTTCGTCAAGATTAATTTCACAAAATTGAGTCGCACTATTGCTATAAACTGGAATATATTTTTTCGTTTTCACAAACAGAGGCATAATCGATGATGTACCTATACAAAAGTTTCCTGTAGTTAACAAATTTACATTTATACTTTTGAAATGTAATGTTGTCATTAATTGTGCCACAGGGCTACCTTCATTATGTAACCTGCATATCATACTCAAAAAATTAGGCAATATTTTATAACTATATTTCGCCAATGCACTATTACAATTTTGTACAAGCACATCTAAGAAAAGTAGAGAATCTTCTTTCACACGTGGATCAATGTGTCATTGGACAGCTCAGATACGATATTATATAATTTCATGCAAAGATGTCAACTGTTCATTTAAGATAAGGTCAAGAATAAAATTAAATGCATGAAATGAATTTGTACGTATTTCTTTCTCTTTATCAAGAGATAAAGCTGCGATACCATGTAACAGAGAATTCAATTGTGAAGATTTTAGAGGATTTTGTAACAAGATGTCTTTTAATTGTTTCAAAGCATCTTATCTCAGTTGAATTGTGATGCCAAAAACGTGTTAATAAATCCTAAAAATACATTATAAGTTACATAATAATGTACGAACAAGGTCGAATTATAACGTATTAAACAATTAGGTTTATACAAGACATCAACATTCGGTAATTGTTGAATTTAGTCTCCTCACCTCCTCGAGGTTGATGAAATTAGACTCATTCGACGCGTTTTTGCACTACATGAACAAATGGCAAAAAAATGTGTCGCTCTACCCCGTAAACCGAGTTATTAATTGTTAAAGTTGACAGATATCTAGATGAGGAAATCTGTTGCATCGATGGCATAGAAAATTAAACAAATTTTCTGCTTTACAGACAAATATTTAACCAGGATACTCTGCTGTAAAAATAAAAATTATATAGAAAATAATTTGTCTTAAAGCAGAGAATTTGTGAAATTGAAGCAGAAAATACTTATTTTAGCTTTAATTACATGTTCTCATGTCCTTCTCTGCCATTGATGTGACAGATTTCCTAACTTGAATATCATCAACAACTTTAATGATTAATATCTCGATCCACGGGGTAAAGTGATACATTTTTTTTGTCAGATTCGCTTATTTAGTGCAAAAACGTGTAGTCGAGTAAGTCTAATTTGTGTAATTGCAGAAGCAGAAAATCACTTACGTGTTCCTCTATGCCATCGATGTGACGGATTTCCTAACGTAAACTATCTCACTTGATTTCCAAAAGTGTACATTAATTTATCATCAGCCATGAAAAACAAACATGTATGATGTGACTATGCATTACCAGCGCCATATTTGCCTCTTGCGCCAAAAATTCCAAAAGGACAAATCTCCCACTCCGTAGCCGACGACAACGTTTCTTAATTTTAACATTGTATAAAAGTTTCAGATTCAAATTTTGCGTCGCAATATTTCGACTCATAGGGCACATAGAGAAAAAATAAAAATACTTTCATTATATTGATATTTATACCGGTTGATTGAGCATACTTAGAATCTAATCAGTTCGGCCCTTATTGAGATTCAATAATCTAAATCCCTGGCAATTCTCCGGCAGCTTAGCATCGAGACACTACCAGTGTCTCCAGATGTCGGCGGTACTGTAACTTTAAACTACTTAATGAAAAATAACTTTATCACAGCGTTTAATTAGGATTGTGCATTTTAAAATTCAAAGTTACCAATATTTTCATGCGGATAATAAACATTTCAAGACAATATATCAGATACTTCATACAAATATGTATTCGCGATATTATCTTAGTTTAACATAATGATGTTACATTCAAACTCCGAAAATAGGTTTAGGAAAAGAGAAAATAAAAAGATGGAATGTGGAAAAACGTTAGAGACGCTTTGATTTGCACGCATATGCATGGAGAGGAATGGAGCAAGTTGAACGCATCTAGATGATTCCGAAACGTAGGCCAACGTCTTGAAGACGCTATGACTCAGGTTTCAAAAATCGTGTGATCGTGGGTACCTATTTTGGATCAACGAACTTAACTCCCTTTAACTCAGGACAGAGCCGTGTGCAAATTTATGCCAGCAGAATATTTATACGAGGGAGTAATAAAAGGAATTACGAGCAAATCATTTTAACAAAGCACATACACGTGTATATTTGCTCGGATAAAATAATTTTAGAAGAAAAGAATATATTGGATCATCTAAAAAGTATCCGCGGTACTTTGTCACTAGATATATGACCATCAACACACATCTAGTGACAAAAAACCGCTGATACTTTTTAGATGACCCAATATTTGTTGTGTGATAGCAGGTCAACCTAATAACCCTATTGTAGTTTCATTGTTTAATGGTTTATTTCATAGTTTTATTCACAGCTTTACAGTTATTTATAGTCTTAGATTACAGCTTTACTATCGTTACAATTCGCGCACAACTTATTTACAGTCTTATAGTTTACAGCTTTATTATCGTTTACAGTTCGCGCACACGTTATGTAGACTTCGCTGACTTGAGTCCCGTCGCTTAATTTTTCGTGTAGCGACAATGCTTGGGAGCTATGTCTTGAGTCGCCTGTCTAAGGACGTTCGCGCAGATCCAAATCTATAGCCAAACGACGCAACAACGCCTAGGGGCTATTGCCCTGAGTTGCCGTGTATTTTTTTCGGGTGACGAACCCGAGAGATTGCCAACGATGTTCTTTTCGGTGCGAAGACTACCTCAGTTTTCCGCCCGATTGCGGCTCTCCCCAACCCATCGAAGTGTCCATTCCATCCGTGATTGGTCAATAATGAGACGCGGCGAAGACGCCAGAGACGGAAGAACGAGACATAGTTAATCCGCCGAAAACCGATTTGACTCATGTCACTTTTGCGTTCCTGCCATCTCCTCCTGATCCAATGCCAGACCAACCGAAACAGCTCGTATAAATGCTGCGGCAAATATGTGTGTTGACAATAAATTTGTCGATCATAAAATTGTCGTGCACAACGAGTTTGTGTTCGGAATGCTCTACATAATATATACTCTCCCCTTTGAGAGAGTAGCGATCAATATTAAATAATTTTGAGACTAGTCGTTGTTTTATGAATCGCATTGTGAGATCGCAATAGTAGAATATAGTTGTCAATCATACGCATTGTCATAAACACATACCCGACGACGCCTAGGCACATTAGCCCTGAGTCGATGGAAGATGTTTAACAATTATTGCCGTATTTCATATTTGTATAATCTTACAACAAGATGCTTGTATGTCACGCAATCATTGCTCGATGGGTATTAGCAGCGTGTCCAGAAATGCTGACGAACCCTCGTAATATGTTGCCACATAGATAAGCGGTTAGCTGGAACAGAAATCATATCGGATTCCTGTGGAGCGATTAAAGGTTTTCCAATCATATAATGAGCCGGGGTTAGCACGAGCATATCATTCGAATCGGGAAATAATGGATCTGGAATTCAGAATGCCCTCGATCAATAATAAAAGTATTTAACTCCTCAAAAGTAAATAGTGAGTCTCCTA